GCCGAGCCAATAAAGAGATTTTTATAAGAGGGGAAAAGTAGTTTAATTTATTGTAAGATAAAAGTACAATGAAAGAATAGGAAAATGAAATATTGAACATAAAACTAGGAAAAGAAGAAAAATGAAAAAGCAAAAGAGTAACATCTGAAGACACAGATCTACAGCTTAAGACCAAAGAAGAAAATGAAAGAGAATTGAAGGTAAAGAGACGTGAAAGAAAAATAACATTGTTCAATAAATTCTAGTAAAAGCTGAAAAAGAATTTAAATGTGAAGTAGAAAAACCCACTTAAAATCTAAATTACTGTCAAATTCTTCAAATCACCTTCTGCCTGAAGAATATGAGGAAAACAATGGGGAAAAACTAACTTACCTTTCGAACAATACTGTCTTCCACATTTGATTTTTTATTGCTGCCCTGTTTACCCATTAAAGTAATCTCTAGTTGACAAAAAGGTTTCGGTAAAATATCACATTGCGTAAAGAATTTTCTCCATTCAACAATATATGCTTTTAGCAAAGCTGTATCATCTTGATGGCTCAGTACTCGCTGAAAAAAAAAATCATACCAATTTAAAGTAAATCCTGGTGCTCTGAAGAATAAAAATAAAACATATTCATGCTATAACTGAAATTTTAAAAATTTATTGTACAAACTATATTATATCCAAGAGAAATTGAAACACATTCACAAAAAATCTTATACATGAATGTTCCTACCAGTATTATTCAAAATAAACAAAAAGCAGAAATGATCCAAATGTCCATCAGCTGATGAATGGATAAGTCCTATATGGAATGTACACAACAGAATATTATTCAACCATAAAAAGAAACAAAATACTAATAAATGCTACAACACAGATGAATCTTGGAATCATTATCAAAGTGAAAGAAATGAATTACAAAAGGCTACATATATTGTTTGATTCCATTTATAAGAAATGTCAAAACCAGGCAAATCCATAGAGCCAGACAGCAGATTAGTGGCGGGAGTGATTGTTAACAGCTACAGAGTTTCTTTTCAAGGTGATGAAAATATTCTGGAATAAGTGGCTGATAGTTGCGTAATTTTATGAATGTTCTAACCCATTAATTCACATGCTTTTAACAAAGCTGTATCACAAAAAGAGATGTGAAAGAAAAATAATATTATTTTATATTTATTCACATGCTTTATGAAGGTGAATTTTATGACATGTGAATTATCTCTCAAGTTTTTAAAAAAGGTATTGGAGCCCATTTCCCCACTCCTAGAGTTTGGTCTAGTCTCGTGACTTGCTCTGACCAAAACAATGTCATAGATTTAATGTTGTGAGATTTTTCAAGCCAACACCTGAAGATTCAGGTCTTACAGATTCCACTTTCACCTCAAAAACTGGTTTTCTAAGAATGAGACATCACCTGAGAAAATGACATGAAGGCTGTGTTGACCAGTTTGATGGAAGTATTTCGGGTTGCATGTGAAAACCCCACACTGTACCCCAGAAGTGCATTAATGTACATAGTTAACATTCAATAAAAAAAAAAAAAAAACACAAAAAAAAAAAAAAAAAAAAAAAGAATGAGACATCACACAGGGGAAGAGAAAGCCAGCACCACATGCTAAATATCTGCTTAATGCTCTCTTGGCCACCCAGTTCTTGAAGAGCCAAAAAGCTAACTGTTGCTGCATTAATAAGCTCAGGTTAGATCAGCCCAAATGACTACGCCACACAATTATGAACAAATAAAATAGTTGTTAATGTAACAAGAAGAATCCAATTTTCTAATAATTTCCCAAGCATTGTGTTTATTATTTTTATTTATTTCTTGTCTTTTAAAACTGCTATAGTTAACATTTTAATACGTATGTCTTTCCCATTTGAGAGATTTAGGGTTTCCAACTGAAATAAGTTCAGCTGAAGACTGTTTAATAAATACTCAAAAAACTAAATTTTCTTTCTTTTTTTCTTTTTGGAGACATAGTCTCACTTGTCACCCTCAGTATAGTGCCATGGTGTCACAGATCACAGCAACCTCAAACTCTTGGGCTCAAGAGATTCTCTTGCCTCAGCCTCCCAAGTAGCTGGGACAACAGGTGCCCTTCACAACACCCAGCTAGTTTTAGAGACAAGGTCTTGCTCTGGCTCAGACTGGTCTCGAACTTGTGAGGTTAGGCAATCTGCCTGCCTCAGCCTCCCAGAGTATTAGGATTACAGGCGAAAAACACTGTGCCCAGCTCTAAATTTTCTTAACAGTTTAAAAATTATATACTTGATTGGAGGGATCACTTCTGTGGTTTATCTTACAAGGGTACAAGTGAATCTTTCTAAGAGTAGAATAAGAACATTTTAACACAATAACTAAGAAAATGACATGAAGGCTTTGTTAACCAGTTTGATGGAAATTTTTCAAATTGTATGTGAAAACATCACACTGTACCCCAGAAATGCATTAATGTACATAGTTACCATTCAATAAAAAAAAAAAGAAAATATAATCCACTCACAATAGAATGAAAATAAATTTTATTTATATTAAAAAAAATCATACACTTATGTCTAACATAGGTGTCTACTTTTAATGGTGCTGAATCTTGTCCTAGTGATCTTGCTCAGGTCTACATTTCCAGACTTTATTCAGTCAAGCTACAGTGAAACCCTTACATATTTTGTTTGCTAGGGCTGAGTATAAACGCCCGTTAACAATATCTCTGCTGATTATTTTTATTTTTTGAAACAGAGTTTCATTTTGTTGCCCTCGGTAGAGTGCCCTAGTACATAGCTCTGAGCAACCTCAAATTCTCAGGGTCAAGCCATCCTCTTGCCTCAACCTCCCAA